TATTTGCTTTGTATGAGAAACAATAACAATATATTTACCTCTTAGCATAAAAAATTGATTTTCGACAATAATTAATAAAAAACAAATATTTAATTTAAAATAAACTGTATTCAGTAAAATATATTCAATTGGTTTCTATATTCGATTAACACAAATAGTTCTTGTTAACCGTATAGCTATTCAACTTTAGCCTGGAATTTAATTTATAAAGCCTAACATCAGAGAAATCCCAGTGGTGAAAAGTAATAGTACTTTATCACTGTTCTTCATATTAAATGTAAATGAACTATTTATATACTTTTATGAATGCAACTAAAGTCCTATGTATTAACTTATTTATTAAATACACTTAATATCATATATTTATATTACAACTGTTTTTACAGTATACTCTATCTACTGTATAGCGAAAATCGTCAAGAATAATTTTCAACGAACTTAACGAAAGGACGAGCGTTGGTTCAGTTGCGCGTAGAGGGAGTAAAGAATTTGTTGAAAGTATTTATTACAATATAGATTATATATCTTATTACCAATATTAACTTTATGTAAATATTTTTTATGTTCTTATAATATTTTATTAATATAATTGAATTAAATCTTAATTTGTAGGTAATCTTTAAATAATGGCGCGTACCAAGACAATGAAAATATCAAAATATCGTGAAATAATACCAGTGCAGACACAACCTGTACGTCCGGTCTTAACTGTTCGCATGTGTCGCTTTAGATCGAAAAATATTATCTTCTGCGGAATACTTCGTAATCCACAAAATTATGATTTATTACTTAGTAAAGCTGGTTTTCAACGACTAGTCCGTGAAATTGCTAAAAATTTGAAGATAACGTTTCGTTTCCAGATTGGTGCCATGCTAGCTTTTCAAGAGGCTACAGAAAATTTTGTAACCGATTTCCTGACAGACGCCTATTTTTATTCCTTTCATTCTAACCGCGAAGGGATTAGAAAAATAGATATTGAGTTTGCTAAGTGTCTTTATAAAAAACATTTGAAATAAAATTACATCGTAATATTTTCGATTCAAACTATTAGTAATTATGTAATTTATCATTAAAATAATAAATTATTCTGCTTCACAAAAAACTCATATGGTTTTTTTGCACCACTTGGATGTAAAGAGTTTGTAACTCGTAAGTACCATAAAATTATGATTTGAATAAACTAACTTACTATCACGTCCATAAGGTAATCAATCTGGGTAGAGGTATGGAGATAAAATAAAACAATCAATTTATCCAATGTAGTGCTCAGAAATCTTCTATCGTAGGAAAGGATGAGGTACAGTAATCCGAACAATTGATTATAGTCACTTCAGAAAGGTATGCAAAAGTTGTTGTTTCGGAGACGTTTCATATATTTAGATACTGATATATACTTACTCACCAAAGTCCATAAAAAGAAGTTCTGTGTATAATATACATATTTGCAGAGCTCTCATTTCTATCTCTAACATCCTGGAAGACATTTTGCTTACACTATCTAGATTTATACTGTTATCGACATAACTTCCTGACATTTTGACTAATTAGGGATATATGCCCAAATAAGGTCATTGAGCAAAATGCTATTGAAGGCTATATAACAGCTTGTGTGTGATCAAAACTCAACAAAAGTTCGTTTAGTCCCCGTGAGAAATTCGATAGTGATGTTATGTTTTCTAAAATCTCTATCTAAAACTTGTGAGGTTATAAACTACCATAAATAGACAATTAGCATATGTCGGTAGGCGCTGGCGGTACTTCGTATATTAAAATATTATTATATTTTCAAAACAAAAATTATTAATTTCCTTCCTATTTATTGTTAACTTACTTATATATGAAACCGAGCAAATGAAAACGAACATTATCTTCCATATCACCTATTTTCATTTCTAGGTTGCCACTTTTGTCTTTTCCGTTTTTGCTTCTAGGTTTCAGCAACGACTGTGATTTCGAATCGTCATCCACCATCACATGAAAAAAATTACTAAATACGATTATATGGGTTAGGATATCAGTCAAGTTGGTGAAAAGTGAGAAGCAGAGTGGTTGATTAGTATAGGGCATGGGTAAGGGGTGTTGGGTTCTAGGAGCGACCAGGCCTCGCAATCACTCTTAAATCACGATGAACAAGTGTTGCTCTCGACTTCTAACAAGAAATCAAGAAATTGCAGCTCACCCCCATGACGTCGCCCATCTCTTTTCTTGCCCCAATGCACACACTGATTTAAGTCCAATCGACCTTTGGACTCATCCCCTTGAGGTAGTTAGGTTTCGTCGTCTGGACTCTGGTTGATTTCAATTATATCGCCCCCCTTCTTTTATCCCCTTAACTCTAACCCCACCTGTCCACTCCCTTACCCATGTATTCGTCTTGTAATCCTTATATATTATCTGCTTTCGTATCCCGGCAGGTTACAACAACAACAACAACTTCTAACAAGGACTATACGAGCAGATATGTGTTTAATCTTTTACAAAACACATTTCTACAACACCTATTTTCGCATACTGGAGACACTCACTTAATAAACAGAAATATTAAGTCACAGAAATCAATTCACTGATTAACTTCAATTTCTAAGCAAAATGTTTGATTAACGTCTTTCATCCACTCTCGAAAAGTGCCCGAACAGGTCATTTACTCCACATGATGTTGCTTATATATTTTCTTAACCAAATATTCATACAAATTTGAACCTTATTGAGGGTTGAGCCATTAACCCCGTTCAGGTGACAAGATTCTCTACCTGGAGCCAGGTTCAATTCAACATCTCTGCCTGTATTATATTGTTTATTCTACATTACTTTTCTCATCCTACCCCATTGCCAATCTTTTATGTAGTTGCTTTCAGGTCCGGTGATTGATTGATGGCAGCTCTGCTACCTATTCTTACCGTAATTAAGATGAAATAATAAGATTAGCACTTCATATCGGAAATAAATATGTATATTTTAACATGGCAATAGCAGTACATAGGCATATAATTTAATACTTATCATATATAAATAAGTGGGCTAAGCAGTCATCTTCCTAAAAATTATCATGTATAAATATAAAACAATAACAACTTAATATTAAATTAAATAATAAAACATTTTGGAAGTGGAATGTTAAGAATCACAAAATAAAGTTTAAAAATAAAAATGTACAAACATACAATAAATTTGAACACTAAAATTATAAATAAAATTTAGTTATTATTTAACAAAATCCTTCCACGGAAATGTGTTGCCACTGGCCCTGCAAATAGATTTTTCTCAAAATAAATATAAACTTAAAATTTTAATGCTACTTTCTTACTGGAATTCCGACATTCCAACCAGCGCCAGCAGGATTTTCTTTGGTTATTCCACAACGTTTGCATATAACGCCATTCATGGCAATTGCCCATACTTCTTTGCCTACGGATATTGACTTAAAGCCAACATGAGTTTCTGAATTTGGTGGTACACTGGGAACATTCGGCAAAAACTGCCAGTGGGAGCCTTCAGGAAATGTTTTCGTGATTTCTTTGCGAACGGCCAGTCGTGTTCTATTATCTATAGCCCAAATGCCGGCTTTTCCAGCAGACACATACTTGAAAGTAACACCAGCTGGTGCCTCCACTGCTTGCCAAGCCTCACCTTTTAAAAATTTATAATTTGAAAATATTTTCAATATATATATGTATGTATGTATGTATGTATGTATGTATATTCATAGTACCTAAAGGATTATGTTTTGTAATACCATATCTGAAGAATATCATGCCATTTCTACCTACAGCCCAAATCTGTCCAGTTGGACTAACACTAATCGCTACTAATGGCTGTTCGCTTACAATGTGTTCCCATCTATCACCTCGAGGATTTGATGGTGTGACACCGTGGCGTATAAGTACATCACCGTTAGCAGCAACGGCCCATGCAGTAACTCTTAAATCCTCGAAATCGCCTGCAGCACTATCAGCATCGTCGTCTAAAATTTGTAAAGAAGCATCAATTATTTTCGAGTGACTTAATTCCTGCCACGGCCCACTACTAGTAAGGCGACATCTTTTAACCCAGCGTCGCCTACGCACACAATCGGTGATTTTCTTTGCACTATGATATGAGGCGGGAAAGTCAATGGCATATTGCCAACCTTCTTTGTCTGCACCGCCCGGTAAGTTAAAATCGACTATCCAATCAGATATCCATTCGCAATGCGCAGATAATAATTTTGTATGATCTTTACTTCGTTTTTGCCTACCCGTAGCATCGCTCCACATGTGGCGATCAGTAGGTAAACTTTTGGTAGTGAATCCACTTATAGGATTCCAACGTTGATTCTCGTAAACATAAAAAGTGTGCGTATCAATCATTTGATTCATTTTTCCACAACCTCCTTCAAGACCCTTCAGGAAATGACCTCCCCAACCACCATTATAACACCAAGCCGTGTTATCACATGACATACCCCACACAATACCTGCTCCACAGGTGAACACACGTTTTAGATGACCACCCATTTGTCGCCAGAACATTTGTTGCATTGATATAATCACTGAAGGACTATAATAAATAACATTAAAAAGTTTAACCCGTCCGCTGACATAGAGACAAGTGACCGATTCTGGATCTGTGCGGTAAGTGTAGTCGGCGAAATGTGCATTGTTCACAAATATTTTATAATAATTTTGTTGAGCTCTATAATAAATTCAATAATGAGATACATATTGTATATTGCAATATATAATGTTGTAAACATACTTAATTTTAAGTGTAAATGTTGCCCCAGGCGCAAAAACCATTTTATTGTAACGTATTTCTTCTAACCACTCAGAGTCATCCATTGAATTGAAAACGATTGTATTTTCGTTAAATCTTTTAAATAAATATATTAAATACTATGAAGACTTTCATTCACATTTAATCATACCTGGGATTAATATGCATCGCAATAACGCGATATTTATCTACTTTGTGCCGAACTTTAATTTTGGGATGACATTGCAAATCGAACCTTATTTGATCAGCATCATCGTACACACACCCAGCAATTTCCAACTCAGTTCCACAAGGCATACTAAGATGATTTATATGTATAAAATACCATATTACATTTACGTAAATTTCTTTATATAAATCCTTTATTTACTTACCCATTGTGCAGGGTTACATAGTATGGAGTCTCAGTCGCTGTTACATCAATTTTATCCACATAGAAATTACTTTTGGTCTCAAGCTGATTCGACTTCATATTACATGGATCAAAAACGAAGACATCGCCCAAATCGGAAGTCAACCAAATGGAGTTGGAAGCAGGTTTACCCATGACCTCATTAATTTGACAACAAACTGACGTAAGATGAGAAATCCAGTCTTCCATTTCTGCGTCTGTTGCAAATTGTAATTTCACTGGCGAACAATTCGTTGGCAAGCGAGGAGCATGTATTGCTATGCGCGGAGATGGCGGTTCACTGCAGCATTGTACACACGTTATATCAGAGAGTGAAAATTGTATTTTAGTTGTGTCACCATCTGGATTAAGTACCGTAAATGTGCCTGTGTCTGATTCTGTGTTTCCATTATTGCTTTGCTCTGCACTACTGACCCACTCAAGTTCAATTAAACAATCTTCAAACTCTCCACCTGGTCTTTGGTAACGCGCTTCTGCTGATTTTACCCACGATGACAATTCTATAGCCTTTTCGTATTTTTCAATATTTTTTATAGCTAAAAATCTAGTTTGGCGTTTCTTTAATTTTTCCATAATATCAACGCGCCACTCAGCCTTCAAATCAATTTTGCCATCTGCGGACAATTGCTCATTGAACCAATTGGGTAAGTTCGTGGGATCAACAGCGAGAGCTCCAGCTGCAGTGCAACTCCACATGACTTCACATTCACTCCAAAATTGTGAGCCTTCAAAACCAAAAACCAAATAATTAAAATTTAATTGAAAGAATTTTTTATTCATTAGCTAGCGTACCTGCATGATCCTCATCATCACCTAGAAATGCATCAGATCCATGATGTGTGGAGTCAGCATCAAAAACTGTAGAATCGCTTTCTGGATGTGCCTCCGTACCAACTACTGATCCAACACTACGTACTGGAGACCAAGCACGTGGATTCTTCAACTGAGTTTCAAAATGCTTTCCTGATATTTCAACAATCTCTGCAGCTGGCGCACTTGAAGCATGGGTAGGTTCTCGAAGTGCTGCTGTGCGTTTTTTGTGACGCTCGTTCAGGTTTAAACTTCCAATATTTGGTGGTGAATCTGATGCATTCCTCCAAAGCTCATTCTTAAGTCTTGTTTGTGCCGAGTATCCACCACTACTAGTAGATGCTGGACTATGCGGTAAATTTTCGATAATAGCACAAGTTTCGACAACTCCCTTCTCTTTTTCTTTGGTATACAAATTTGAAAAACTTTGTGTTTTGGAACCTGGCGTTGAGCCACTACCGCTTTTGCGCGATACTATAGACATAGAACTGGAAGTGCGACTGATTTGCATTGGGCATTGTAATTGACGCCACTTTTTACCAGTTGGGTCTGAAGCAGAAACTCCGGCGCGGAATAAAATCTTGCGATCAGTAGCACCAACAGCGAACACCTTTTAGGAAATAAAATATTAACAAAATATTAATATATTTTTATTTTTTATTTTGTTTACCTGATCGTTTGGAGAAACTGAGACCATGGAGATATTTCCAACCATTTCTACCCAACCACTTCCTATTGCAGCATCTTCACTTATACCCGCAGCATCACCTTTAATGCCACGTCTAAACCAAACATGATGGTCATTTGTTACACACCAAACTGTATCGGTACCCACTGAAACTTGCACAATTTTCAAACCATTTGAAGTATCTGTAGTTTGGGAGGGTGTAGGTGGTTTTACATCTAACCAAGTTTCACCACACAAATTGTCACGTGTTACACCCGAACGCACTAGTACTCGACCATTATGCAGCACAGCCCAAACGAGACCTGTTGATCCCACGCTTATTTGTGTTAGCTCACAACCTGCAGGTGTGCTTATGGCTGTCCACCGCAAACCTTCCGGTGCTGTTGTATTTACGCCAGTACGAAACATAGCCTGTACATAAGAATTATGTTATTATTAAAAAAAAATAATTATTAAAGAAAAGCACAAACCCTGCCATGTGCTGTAATAGCCCAAACAATTAGTGTGTCTGCCGGTGCATTAGGTACATTATTGCCACCAATAGAAACGTCAATAAAAGGTTCTTGCGTTGGATCTTTATGCAGCGGTGCAACAGCACACCAAGTATTCAATGCGCTATACCGACGGAAGCGTATCTGTTATGAACCATACAATTCATACCTTTCGTAAATATTTAAAAATAAATCATACCCACCCATTTTCTACGTCTGACATATGAGTTCCAAGAGCATTTTGCACTGTATGTTGCGGGAAAATCTAGCGCATACATCCAACCTTCGTCTAAAGTTTGTCCATCCAGGTCTAAATCAAGATGCCAATCTCCGTCCCATTGCCAAGCCATCGAAGGTAAACGTATTTTATCAATACTTCGCTCAGCACTACCATCAGATGATGAGTACTTGTAACGATCTGTAGGTAGTAGCATTTTTGAAAAACCTTCAATTGGTATCCAACGTTCATTTTCATAAGATTCTTCTTTAACACGTATAGGAACATCCAGGCCATGTACATGCACATAAACTTGTCGGTCGCCACCAATCGCCCACATGAAATTTGGCACTGTGGAGATTTTTTTGAACTCCAAGCCAACATATGGAAATTCTCTCCATGATGAAGAATTCGTGGAGAGAGTATAAACGCGACCTTCACTGTTTGTGGCAAATAACAAGCTACTGGGCATACTTCAGCAAGCCGCTACGGGCTGTGACGTGGTACCTAGATGTATTTACAAAAGCATATTTTATTTTAATATATATCGTATTTATTTTAATATAATTACTAATGTTAATTATAAAAATTTCACTGATTATCTTATTAAAATAACAGAGATTATCACAGACTTATCATACAATAAAGAATGAATCAGACAACCACTTCACAAAATCGATTTTATTTCATTGTAGATACCAAAAATTAATTTTATTTACTTAAATGCAACTTTACAGAGTTTGTTTATTTATTTATTGTATTATTTTTACTTTCAATTAATTACCTTTGACCGACTTTATTGATTTTTATATATTTCAACGCCAGTGTTTTTATTTGTTGTAAACAAAATTATAGAAAATAGTTGTACCGAAGAGTACCACTGTCAAATTTTTGCTTCGTATGCTTTAACGCATTTTATTTGTATTTGCTTTTGTGGCGCTCTTCGTAAAGTAATGCCTGCCAAACAATAGTGCTACCAAATCAAGAAAAGAAAACGGCTGTTCGCGGTTGAATATCAACAAGTGCCTCATAAAGAATTTATTTTTTTTATTACTAATATAAAAAATAATTAATAAAATGTGTTAATGCGTTTAAAATAAATGAATTCAAGCACTACACATGAAGATGTGCCATTAGCTTGCGTTGTGAAGTGAACTCGTATAAATGCAACAATTTCTAATCGGTAATTAAAGTTTGGTATGAAAATGAAGGTATGATGAAATACTGAGATTGTTGTACTTCAGTTCTTATTCGCCACCATTTATGGATATCATTATTATATTTATGAATGCATTTCAACTACTGAGACATCGGGTAAGTTTTTATCCCTCAAATAAAAATTTTTTTTTTAATAGAATTTATACTTGATTACAAATTCGTTTGTTATTTATGCATAATAGTTTTTTGTGTTATTTGTTTTATCAATTAATCATATGTGGCCAAAGACTATAAGAACCGAAATAAAAAACGCAAATGGGAATGGGTCGGTCACACTTTGCGTAGACCGACTGGTGACTCCACAAGACGAGTGCTGATTGAGTGGAACCCGATGGGTAGCAGAAGAAGGAGCAGACCTGCTCACACCTGGAGAAGGCAAATCAGTATGGAAATGTTACACATGTGGATAAGCTGGGGAGAGTTGAAGCTATTGACCACTAATTGTGCCGAGTGGAAGATATTTGTTGCGGCCCTATGCGCCTCGTAGGAGTTAAAGGATTGAATATATATAATCATATGTGGTCAAATTAGTAAGATATTACAAAATAATTGCGGTTATTTATATTCCGATAACGCTAAAAAATTACAACGGTTATACATAAAGAAAATTTTTAAGTTAACTCAAAATACACCATCCTATGCAATTCACCTCGAATCGGGGCTGCCATTATTGTATATATTCACCCTACAACTGCATTTTGACTATATCAATAAAGTAATGAAAATGCTAGATCAACGGCTGTTCAAAATCAACGTAAAACACCTACTCCAATCCAGATCGCAGTTCTTTGTTTAATGGTTTATACTTGCTAAGGAATATAGCAGGTCCTTTTATCCTACTGCAACACCCTTGTGGATCCAATGATCTTAACGCGAGAACCCACTTAAAAAGACAAGCACGTGTTAGCAGTACAAGAAATACATACAAGCTGTTGGAGTATAATCCAAACGAACAAAATTATTTCAACGACAAGTTGAACAGGCACCCTCTTTTAGGTTGATCTTTATTTTAGGCAACGTACTTTATGTTGATCGGACTTGGTTCACCTAACCAAGTCCAATGTCTTACTTTTCGTTCGTATCGAAGTAAACTTCTTCGAAACTACTCGCTAATACTTTTTCTTAGTTTTAAGTAAAATGTAACTCACTGTGCCATCTGATATGCCAATGGTCATAATTAATTAATTAGTGTATTTTAACTCGTCGTGGATTTTATTGCCGATTTCTAGTGTAGCATCATCAATTGAAGCTCCTTGACGCTGATTTAAATGTAATATGGATATTATCAAGTCGGGTATGATTTTTACATGAATTAAAGGGTTAAACCGCTGTTTTTTTTTATTTAATAAGTTTAGTAAGAATTTTAGTTTAGAATTAGAATTGGTTTTGTTGTAGTTCGTGTCGTTCACAGCATTTGTGAGCAGTAAAAGTCCTACAGGAGTGATAAGTAGTATTGTGTTATAGCTCAATAGCAAGTGGTTTCGGCTTTTTTGGATTTTAGTATTATAATTGAAAAAAATGATGAAAAAAGTAATTAGATAAAAATGAAACATAAATCATTGGTTTAGCTTTGTTAATGAAAAAAGTTTATAAAGTTTGTTTTGCTAAGAAATTGTAATTGAATGAAAATTTATTTGCCTAGTTGAGGAAGACCTCATTTCATATAAAACACAGTTTCCTTCGTGCTACTTACATTCTGTAAAAATAAATTAATCAGATTATTTACTGTAGTACGTAAGAGATATATCATGGAAATAATTAGAATATTTGCCAATGTCATAGGTTTCTTTATACTTTATTGGTTATAATGAAGGCTACTTGTACGTACAATTTACCTCATTAGTTTGAGCTGTAATAAGACATCTCAAGGAAAATGGCACGTACAGGCATATTTATGTTTTATAATTTAACTTTTCAACTAAATTGGTCGTGCTGACTGCCCAATTCAAGCAACAATCATTTACCCATTTATTTCCATAGGCCAATGTCACGCATACCATTTCATAGTTCAGCCCTCCGAAAACTGCCAATAAAAGCGTGAAAACACGACTATTACGACTAAGCAAATATTTAATAAAACGTTCTGCTGACCTTCAGTCGGGACCTGCTGCTTGCTCCCATTGCGAGATGTTATTAGCTAATCAAGAATACTTGACTAATCTACATTTTTAAGGTGTACACAAAATAATAGTTTGCATAAATACCACAACGAATCGCAAAAATTTGCTTACGTACATGAAATCAGGCCTGCAACCTACAATTTTCCCGGCTAAACGCGAAGCTAATGTCGTGCAAGAAATATGGGTTTATATGCAATATAAATATAACAGTCGCTTGGGTGTAAGGAAAATGTTTTTCATATATTTTTCTTGGTTTGTAATAATTTCTTTGCTCTAATATAGTAATTTTTATAGAACAGCCGTGCGTTAAATACTGGTAGCTCCACCTCAGCGGTGTAAAATGTCCATTTTAAATGTGCAGACAGGTGAACAATGAGGAATATACTTGCAAAGTATAACCCCTTTGCTGCTCTAATATTATTTGTGGATGAAGCAGTTTTTTTTAGTTCCATTGACCTTCACCGTTGGTAAGATGTAGTTGCTATATGAAAAAATCGCTTATGTGGCACAAAAAGAGAACTGTGTGGAGTTTTATGAGGACGTCTTGGCGTGCAATTTGGCACACATGTCGGATAATTTAGAAAAAAATGTTGGACACAAAAAAATAGAGCAAGACATTGTGATGGTGTTGAGTGTAAGAAAGCTGAAAATTTAATAATTGCAATGAGGCTAAGAGGCGTTAAATAATAGTAATAGTAATTCTTTATGGTTTTGTAGTTGCGGTTCTGTATTCGAATTTACTATATAAAAATAGAAAATCGTGTTCCCGGAAAAGCCACTCGCAATGTAATTGTTAGGGGTATATTTTCAGTATTCTGACTCTCTGAAACAAAAATAAAATTGCTTATATTGCTGATTTTATTCGTATTAATTCTATTTTTATATTGATACATGGATTATTGGAAAGGAGTTGTAACATTTTGTAATATTTACAAAATCGTGTATAATTTATTGTTTAAAATAATTAGTTAATATAGTATTGTAAAATGTTATGGAAAACAAAATTTCTTTATTACAGATTTAATATTTTCCAACAATATTTCAAATATATTTAGAATGTTCCAATTTCAATATATTTGAAAATACATAAAAGATATATAAAGATATTCAATATTTACACATTGAAATAAAATTGAAATCGGTTGAATATGTATATTATTATGTTGAAGCTATTTGAGCCAGTGCACTTGAACACTTTTACTCTCTAATAACTGCGAGGTATCTTCAAAACCCCTCTTTAGGCTTGATTGGATTATTGTTTATCACTTCATCAGACTAAGCAATAATTGACCTCAGATCTGCATACCTCCCCAAGGAGCCTGTAACCATTCTGAGATTCGATAACGCGGGGTTGGCAAGTCTGTCCGTTTTCGTAAATAATTTCATGAATCTATAATATCTATTGAAAATAAGTTTTAAGTATGTATATTGATTGAATTTCATTTTAAAAAATAAACTAAAAATAAAAATAAATTAATTTTTATTAATACTCTTTTTGAGAATATTAAATCTTATTAAATTTCCTTACAACTCGCGTCTTATAAAAAAGAATTTTTTTAGGTATTGGAAGAGAATTCGATTCTTTTTCCATTTCATCTATCAACCTATCCCATGTGATTGAATGACAAAAGAAAAAGAAATATTAATGTTGGTTACGATAAAGAAAATTTGTTGAAAACGGTAGGGTTCACTTTCTAAAACTATTTACTATTTATCTAGGATCCCCTGGGAACGGGAAACCACCCAGACTGTTTAGTCCTGAATATGAGGAATTTGCTTTTGTATGCATTTAACTTGAATAGTGGTGAACTACATAATCTCTGTATGTTTCTTAGTGAACTTTATATTATTTACATATATTTTCATTGATAAAATTTGCTTGATAAATTACGAAGGATACAGGTTATCATAATCAAACTGCAGGTGAGCTCAATATATTGCATTTGTATATTTAACTATAAATATTGATTTATGTATTCATGTACTTCTAATAACATTATGACGTGATATATAAATAATGTGTTGAATTATTAACAAAAGCTGACCATGTTTAGATATACATGGAGATTG